CCTAAAAAAAAAAAAAAAAAAAAAAAAAAAGCAGCTAAATCATTTTTTGGGGCTGAAGGTGGGAACAGAGATTAACGGATATAAGGGAATGATAGTAATGTGGGTATTTTTTGACACTGCGGTGATTGTGGCATAATTCTGTAAATTTACTACAAATCATTAAATTGTACTCTTACAAAGGATAAATTTTAGGGCATGTAAATTATACCTCAGTAAAATAAAGATGTTAAAAATTAAAATATTGATTATTACAGTGAACCAGAAAGTTATATATGAATATATATCAAATTATTCAGTTAAAATTTATCAATAATCAAGTATCTGAATGAAGCTTGTTGTAGCACATTGAATTTCATGATTGTATTTAATTGTACCATATTATACTGTTTAACTGATTTCTTTTCCAGTTTTGGAAGTTAAGAACAAAGCAAAATGAACAAAAAACTTAAAATGATAATTTATGAGACAAAGAAACTGTGTGCAAAAAACAATCCGTGTTCACTGAAATTGCGCAGTTCTCGGTGACACTTTTTAGGACTGACACAGGACAACTCTGTTGAGGCTCCACGCAGACTCATTTCTGTACCACCCTAGGGATTCCCAGGTGCCAACGGAGCTCCGGGATTTAAAGGACAGAAAGGTGAAACACCTCAGCCCCAGGGGCAAGTGGGCGCCCGCGGGGATCCTGGCCTCACAGGGCCACCAGGGAGAAAGGGCCCGGATGGAATCCCTGGGACTCCAGGAAGGAAAGGATTACCAGGACCTAGAGGCGAACCGGTTGGTATTTAGCCGCTTCAACCAAATTACTCTGCTTGTAGATGAAATGCTCAGAAGCTGACGATCGATGAGTTCCTGCCAAAAGATGGCTCCTCATTCTAGCTGCAGAGGGAGGCGTCTTCAAATGAGCAGCAATTACCTAAGCAAATACTTATAATATTTACATAAAATGAGTTTATAAAGAAGCTCAGAAATTTAATGAATAGAGGAAACTTTTAGTAAATATTTTGAGGCAAGGTTCATTTTTCAAGTAAAAATAAATGTAGAAATGTAGAAAAAGAATATTGCACTCAAAGACAGCAAATGTTTTACCATCCAAAATATTTCAACTTAAAAAGTAACAAAAAATCCCTGAAATATTTCAACTTGTGTAAATTTGATTCTTTTCATGGGATAAAATTTCTCATATGTTCAATTAAGAGTTAATACCCACCAGATCTATTTTTAAATGTCATGGAGCAAAAAGTTAAGCACCTCCCACACTGGATCAGTGAGTCGTTTGCCTCAAGTATTCTATGAAATATCTGTTTCTCCCAAGCTTAATCAGATTTATCCAATGAAAAGGGTCCCACCTTGCACAGATTGGAGAAAATTAGTAGTTAAATTGACAGATTCATTTATGGATCCTTTAATATAATATGAATGTGACTCTCCAACATACAGTGAATAGAAATTTTCTGGTAAACAGTGTTTCCTGGGAGCATCAGCTCCTACTAGGTCCAACTATGGGCTGTCCTCTTTATGATAAGCCTTGCTCAAAAAAGGCCAATATGTAGAATTCTTCTGATCTAGTATTAATAATGTTCATATGAGCCAGGTGTGGTGGTGCATGCCTCTAATCCCAGCACTCAGGAGGCTGAGGCAGGAGGATCGCTATGAATTTGAGACCAGCCTGCACTACATAGTGAGTTACAGGTCAGTCTCAACTATAGTGAGACCCTGTCTCAAGAAACCGAAAGATAATAATAAAAATAATAATGTTCATATGACTTTCCTATTTGCATCCCACTGAATTTCCTTTTTGAGTTCTGGTAAAGATGCTCCAGAAAGCAATAAGAGAAAGTTAAAGAGGTGATTCATCGAGTCAGGTCCTAGCATTATAAAAAAGGAAAAAAAAATACTATTGAGCTATCCAATGGTACCGAACAATTAAAACTTCAGTCACATTTATTTGTGAGGGCCATGTTCAGAAGAAGACGACTTTGACTATTTTGTCAAACTCAACTTCTTTCAAGCAAAAGAACTCATTTTGAAAGTTACAGAGTGTGAATTTTTGAAAAATAGACATTTTATGAGAAAAAAAATCATACAGTTAGAATAGAGCCTTGATAATAAAGATAACTGGTGAAAACTGCGAACTATTCAAGTAAAAGGTTCCTGTGCTGGTTTTATTTTAGAAATGTACCAGTAGCATGAACATCACCTCAAAAGCATTTGAACTGTTGACCAATTTGCACTTAGTTTTAATAGCTACTATTATACTGGAGACAATGTCCTTATAGGGCATAAGTGAATCTCAAGACACTGCAAGTTCATACAGTATTGCTGAATTCCAATGTAGCACAAAACAGCAGAAGACTACAACACTGTTGTTTCAGTAATAATTCCCAGCAAATGCCAACTGCTTTTTAACTCAGAAGCTTCTCAGTGACGGCCTAGCCGCTTTTCATATTGCAGTGAGATGAACCTGTAATTTGGAAATTCTGTAATGCAGCACAATTCAAATGCGTTCCTATTGTCGCAGGCCCTGAGTGGTGAGAAGGGAGGCCAAGGTCCTCCGGGAGATTCTGGCCCCCCTGGATCCCCAGGACCTGCAGGACCAGCTGGACAACCTGGCTATGGACCCCAGGGAGAGCCTGGACCAAAGGGCACCCAAGGAGTTCCTGGAGCCCTGGGACCACCTGGAAAAGCCGGTTGGTTAGTTTTATTTCCAGTCCTGTTTTCTGCTGGGTGGATGGCTCTTTGAGCTAACAAAGCTCCTTCGAGACTAAGGAATATATGTATATGAACTTGTTTCTAAGAGAAAGAATATATCAACTCATAGACACTGGAATAGGATATATAGAATATGTTGGAGAAAATCTACTTCTACCTGTCACTGAGCAATTCAGCTAGGATTTCCTAGGATAGCATATATTTATTACTTGTATAAATATGTGGAATGAACAGATCCTAAGGGTTAAGCAGAAGTCAATTATGATTCACCAAGGGGAAGCAAAGCCAACAACCTAATCTAATCTTGAGAATCCTTTTCTAGCCCTCGAGGTCCCAATTAATACTATGGCCAGTTTATTCTTTTTGATCTGTAATGGAGTAGGTGTGTTATTAGTAAAACTTCAGAATATCTAAACTAGAAGAAGAAAAGTTGTCTGATAATGGTTTCAAGGTCCAGGCAACTTCTGGTAACTATAGGTACTGAACACAATTCTGTATTCAGGAGACATCAGGTCCTCAGTATTTGTGGCTGAGAATATCGCAGAAAATAAAATGAAATGTCACTGAGAGTTTTAACAAGGCCACAGTGGTCATTTGTTCACTTCTAAAGTCACTTTAAAGGGTGCAAGCCAATAAAATGATGGTCTCCAAATCATGTTATGTAGTTTCATTAATAAAAATTTTTAAGTGTAGGGCCAGAGATTTATCTCAGTGGTTCCGCCACCTGCCTCACAAGCGCAAGGGCCCGAGTTCAATCCCCTGTAGGTGGGGGGGAGTTTAAGTGTACATCTCCATAGTATTCACATGTATGTTATAAAGTGATTTCTATCCATACATATATAAGGCTTATTTTATAATTACAATACTGTATAACATATAATTATATATAATTCGTATATTATATCTTATTATGTATTATGTAATACACACTATATCATGTGTTATAGTGCATTTTATTATAATGTATAATAATGTATTATATAATAATATATTTTATATATTTATTTACTTGTTTTATGCCCTACTTTGGAGGCTGTTATTGCAGTCTAAGGATTACCAAAGTAATTCCACAATCCAGTCCCCACTGGTTTGTATGGTTTATAAGCTAAGAATAGTTTTACATTTTACAATAAGTTTTAAAATGTAAGAGTATTTTTGACACATTAAAAATTTATGGAGTCCAAATTACAGTGTCTACCCATGCATTTCATTGACTTACAGTCACACTCACTCTGATGCATTATCCCTGGCTGCTCTCACGTTGTGATGGCGGAACTGGACACTTGCAACAACGATCAAGACCACAAAGCCTAAGTCATTTACAGAGAATGTTTATTGCCTCCTGTTCCAATCTGTCATCCACCTCTCTTCTGTTCTCTCTAAATATGACTCTTCAGTGGAAAACTTCACTGTTAAAATATATTATTAACAGATTTTCCCATCACAAAACCATATTTTTTTTCCTGTAAACTCATGACTAGATGAACAAGGCTAACCACTATGGTAGAATGTTGGCCACTGTGATCAGGACGTTGTCTTATCCTTTTCTGTCAGAGGGTTATCATTTTCCAGATGACAGATAAAGGGGGATTAAGAAATGTGCCCAAACTCACATTTATTTAATGATCCTTTTTTTTTTTTTTTTCTGGTACCAGGGATCAAACTCGGGTCCTTGCACTTTCAAGGCAGGCAGCAGCACCACTGAGCTAAATCCCTGGCCAAACTCATATTTATTTGTGAGCAGCAGTGGTAAGCTCTAAACCCAGATCAGTACATTAGGGCACACGAACTGTTTTTGCTCAGTACCGTATTGCCTTCCTGTGAAAGCTAGTACCCCAAACTATAAATAGCACATCAGGATTCACCAAACTGATTTCATGTTATGAATTTTTTGGACTATGTGCTTATTCATTAATCTGGTTTATTGGGCTATTAATTAAAACAAGGCTTAGACAATAGCAGATGTTCATAAATATTTATTGATTGAATGAGTAAGTTTCTATGGCTAGTCATCCCTAAACTAGTTTTGAAGCCTGTTGAAACAGATTTTTAAAAATTTTTCTTAGGATATATTTGTACATCCCTTATAATCATATTTTCCTCCTGTAATCCAAGAAAAGCTTCAATATGCACCCTAATCTTATGATCACAAATTTTCTTAAGGTCCTAAGGGAGAACCCAGCATTTCAACACCAATCCTGGGGCCCCCAGGACCTCCAGGGCCCCCTGGCTATGCTGGGCCCCAAGGCCCACCTGGTGAGTACCCCTTTTGTCAAGTTTGGCGCATGTCACCAGATAGCATCCAACTCTCCTGGAAAAATACTGTCATTGTTATATAGAAAAGATACTTTTAGTGGCTCCAAATGAGAGCACAGCCCAAAGCCCTGTCAGATGAACAAATAGATGGAGGGCTTGCTGTCTTCCTTTAAGGTTATCCAAATTACTCCTCTGGTGTTTCTGATATAAAAGTTTCAAAGGAGAACTGATAGAATTAATAGGTGTTCTCGAGCAGAATAATCTTCGTGGATGTTTTGTAGGGAAGCGAGCAATGCTGATCAGTGGTTAATTAGAAATTCTCTGTAACACATTCATTTGAAACTTAATTTTGGCTAATGTGATCCAAAACTTAACTCTGCCTGAATTTCAGAAGACATAGAGTTTGTGGTATTTAGAATACCTTCAGGAGTTAAAATAGACTTTAAAAAGTTCTTTCAAGCTTCTAATAATTAGCCATTGGGTAGAGGTGTGTAGGAAGCTTATACAGCTGAGATTATGTTAAAATTACTTCATTTCCATGAAGGTTAGGATGACGATTTAGACATTTTCTTTGAAAAGAAGTGGGTGTGTTTTTAAGGTATCACTGGATCCATGGGAAAATGTGATCCTGGCCTTCCTGGACCTAAGGGCGAACCTGGAATTCCGGGAACTGGATTTCCTGGGCCTCCTGGACTGAAGGGTAAATTGAAATTTTCAAAAATGTAAGGTTCGTTGTGAGCATTTAGAAGTCATGAATATGTTGGCGAATGAAAGAGAAAATATCTATAATAGCTTTTATAATATGTTTCCCACTAGTCTTAAAAATCTTACAACAATGTAAGATGAAAAAACAATGTACATTGATCTATGTAACCTCATTTCAATCCATTAAAAAACTGAAAGGAAATTCACCAAAATTGTAAAGTGATTTTTTTGTAGTGTTGGGCATTGAACCAGGGGCCTCATGAATGCCAAGCAAGCACTCTACCCCTGAGATACATTCCCAGCCCAGCTCCTTGATTGTAGGACTATCAGGATTTTTTTTCCTTTAGTTTTGAACTTTTTACATTTACACCTTTCACTTTTACATTCCTTTTTAAAGTAAGAGATGAATTGTCATATCACAAATAAAATGGGTTATAGCTGGTGGCAGACCACGTGCTTAGTATTAGCCAAGAACTGGGTTCAGTCCCCAGGGTTCACACACACACACGCACGCATGCACACACATGCACACAATTGTTAGTATAAAAGCTTTTACACTCTTTTGAGAAGAGCTACCTAGCATTCTGAAAAAACTCTCTACCTTAGTCTGGGTCATACTTGCATGGATATATACATAAAAATCCATTTAGCAGGACACTGCTTGGATAAATAGATTTCAAATATAAAGCTGCTTAAATAGCCAAACACATCCATGGTTTGAAGAAGTGCTAAATCACAGATGTAGCCACACTAAATGGTACAAATGAAAAAAAAAAAGGAATTTCTAAGCATGGGAACCTAGTACAATTTTACTTGGAACTGAATTTTTTTTTTTTTTTTTCATACTGGGGATCGAACTTGGCCCCTTGAGCTTGCAAAGCAGGTGGCAGAACTACTGAGCCAAATCCCCGGCCTGGAACTGAATATTTTTTAATTGCTTGTTTATCAGTTCATTTTGTCATCATTCCAACTTTTACATAAACATTTCCCTCTGGCTGCTTAAGTGGATTAGATGGAATAAGAGACAGGCTGCTCAGAATCTTTGGACTAATAGCCAATGTTCATTGTTTTTTCATTTTTCTCTGTAGGAGATCAAGGTTTTCCAGGAACAAAAGGATCACCAGGTTGTCCTGGGGAAATGGGAGAGTCCGGCTTACCTGGAGAACCAGGCTTCCCAGGAGCCAAGGTCTGCAGCATTAAAACTCCACTGACTTGGGGGAGGGAGAAGGGCAACCACCACTGGTGAGTTAGGATTCCCGGCCAGCTGGGATACTTTGAGTGTAGAAATTATCGGTGAATTCATTGATGGTGAAGGTACTAATTTTCTACATTTCTCTGAGTCATCTTCCCTTTTAGAAAGGAATATAGCAGATGTTAGAAGGCAAGTTTGCCTCTCTCCCTTTCTCGGTGGCTTCGTGAACATTAGAGTGTATAAAATGAAAGAACTCTAGAAAGAAGTGTGGATACCTAGGAGAATACCCATCAGAAGTAAAGATATGTAGATTTTTCTTTATTTACAGAGAATCCCATCATTTTCTTGAAAGATGGAGGTTATAAATGCTGACACATCATTAAGCATAGCTTTACAACAAAGTCAGAAACTAGAGTTGAGAAGGGGATATGGATTGGGTGGTGGTGATCGTGAAAGGGACTTCAAGCATCCATAACAGACAGGTTATTCCAAATATCCCTAAGACCAGACAATATCAATGAGGACTTTCAAGCATCATGTGGTAAAACTAACAATGTTCCTGTGCCACAGGGAGAACCAGGACTAGCGAGACCTGGAGAGCCAGGAGCAGTAGGTTTTCCAGGAGAAAGAGGTGATTCAGGAGAAAATGGAAAAACTGGACTCCCTGGACTTGTGGGCCTTCCTGGAATTCCGGGGAAACAAGGGCTGGATGGATCGCCAGGTATAAGAACAAGCATGATCGGTTTTCTCTGTTGTGAGCTGGGCTGAAATGCAGCCGACTGAATGTGGAGGTTCATTGAATGAGTCTTTGAAAACCTCCTGATACAATGAATAGAGTCCATAAGGACTATTTCCCAGTCAGTGTGACTGCCATATGTTTTTTCTTCCTTTTCTTATTTCCATTTTCCCTCCTCCTTAAAAGGAACATTAATGAAATTAAATATAGGCCTCATTGGTGGAGAAGAATGACTGGACCTTGTGTCCTAACCCCAACCCCAACCCTAACCCTAACCCTAACCTATGGGCAATACTAGGACCTTGGGTTTTGCTAACCAAATGTAATCTTAAATTCTTTTTTTGCAGGTGATCCAGGGAAGCCTGGACCACCTGGAGTAAAGGGACCCCCAGGAATATGCACAGAGGGGTCCAGGGGAACCCAAGGACTTCCAGGCTTAAATGGATTGAAAGGGCAACCAGGTAGGAGGGTGTAGCCTGAGGCACCAGGTGGACAGGTGATGAGGACCTCTGGATTTGCATTTTTCTCAAATGCAACAAACAAATCCTGGCTGGTCTTTCATGAGAAATGTTATTTCAGAAACCAAAATCTTGCTATTAAGGACTTGTTGCACACAGTGGTATAAACCAGCCTTAGAGGAACAGACCTGAAGTTAATATTTTGAACTGGTTTATATCTTTTATGTAAGAAACTATGAACACCAAAGACAGATTAAATAGATAATTTACCTACATGTTTATATGCATAAACTCCCAGATGATGTTTTACATTTAGTCCTTCCATAAATATAGTCAGGTGGTTAATTTCTTACTATAAATTAGAAAAAAGCATATGTAAAGATATTAGTTTAGCAAGTTTCAGACTAAAATATGCAGCCGATTGCTTTCTAAGCAACATAAAAGAAAGAGCATGAAAATCTAAATGATGCAGGCTAGATGTTCCAGAGCATGCAGGCCTTACTCTCT